GACCTCTTCTGAAACCTATGGGTCAAATTGCCTGACATTCAAACTTTATATGGCTCTGTTTTTAATTAGCCCTCTTTTGAAATAATGGGTCTGGCCTGTAGCAATTTTGCAGGCATATTAGAGGGAGGTGGGTTTCAAGTCCACTTGGAGTTACAGACCCTTAACTTTGTTATCATTAAGCCAGCCTTCTTTGTCAGGCCTGTTCAAAATGGAGTTCCTTGTCCAGTCCATGTCTGCCAGTGGAATCCACAAATTCCTAATGCATCTGTGTGAATCGGTCCTCTGTTCGATCACTGCCTGTTGGTGGTGTGCACATATGTGAGCCATTGCAGAGAACAGAGGGGCGATTCAGACACTGGGAACATTTTTAGAATAATGACACTCAGTGGAATTTTCACATGGACTTGCATTTTAATTTATGACTATGGGCCACTTTTGTTAAATAAAGCATGTATTTACAATATTCAAACATTTAAAGTTTTTGAAAAATGTTTAACTCTTTTGGGTTTGAGTGTATGCTTATAAGGCTTATGTAATACAGATTTTGACCATGGAAAAGCTAGGATAGAAAGGAAAACAATCCATCTGTATGAAGTTGAGATGGTTAGAAGATGGACTGCATTAGAGATTGAGCATCTGTAGTTCAGGGTAAGTCATTCCCTCTGCTTTGACTTATTCACCCATTCAGTCTCTCATTCATTCATCATATTCATGGTCTACCTCTCATACACAAAACCTAGTATCCAAAATGTTAAAAGGGGCAAGTTGCTCAACCTTCTTGGTCTTGATTTCCTTATGTATAAAATAGGGGAGTTGTTACAAATACCATGATGTTTTGGAAACATTTAGGTAATATGTGATAATTATAATAATAATTCAAAAAAAAAACAATCCAGTGAGTCTTTTCTATCCACAGATGTTATTCTAAGCATTTGATGGTTAAAAATTCCTTGGAAGGCCCCCAAATCCAGACTAGATTTAAAGACTGGCCTAAGATAAACCATTCCAGAGCTTTAGGGGAAGGCATGACTTTCCCTATGATGAGTTAGGACACTGACAGGGCTGAAAGAACTGAGAGAACACCAGGGAGGTTTCTGTACTTCAGGAGCTCAGGAGAGACAGCCTGATAGTCCACTTTTATAAGGGCCAGAAACAAACTCTTAGGCTCAGACACAGAAAATCGGCCCTTGGGCTACAAGTATCTCTCGGACCTTTGGGGTGACAATTCAAGAGCCAAGAATTATCTACAGCTTCTGAAAAGGACATGAGATGTCATGATTGTTCTTAAATCATCGGGAGTCCTCCTAACACCTCCAGGACTCCAGTGAAGAAATGCAGAATGTGATGGGTGCAATCTCCAAACTAGCCTTCCCCATCAGGAGTGTGCATTCAGACATAGGACACTGGGTGAACACTTCCCACTTAACAGGAAACCAACTGTCAGTTCCTCTTCCCAGCGTATTTTGCAAGTCGATTTTAAAATTACATCTACCCTATCCTTGAAAGTTCTTACTAGAAATTTTGAAATATCTCAGAAGGTCTTGTCAAAATTTGAATTAAATTCAAGGTAAAAGGACTGTAACCACCAATGCTGTAAAAAAATTTTCCACTTGGGAAAAGCCGTAGAGTACCACAAGAGTGCTAGATGTCAGGGTTTGCATTTTATATGTTTTAAAACATAAAAACTTTGATTCTAATGCCTGTATCATATGCTAAACACATGTGACCTTAACTAAACATCACAAAAACCCACCATAAATTAATCGTCAACCTTAATAGCTTCCTTATTTCAAAACACATTTGTTTTGCAAGCTAATGCCTTAAGGCCAAAATTTTAAGGTAACTACACAGAGTTTAAATGAAAAACATACCAGGATATACATACCTATATAATCTCTCTTTCCCTTTTGCTCTCCCTTTCCAACACACTTAGTTTCTCTGTCATTTTAACTCAAAATGGAAGGAGAGAAACTTGGCACACATTTGAATTCTCAGTTTTTCACCGTCATTGACTATATTTGCTATTTTGAGTCTCACCTCCACTTTATCAGAGGAACATAGCTAACTGGAATTAGATTTTTCAAAATTTCTTCCATTCTTTACCGTGTGAGTGTGTGTGTGTGTGTGTGTGTGTTTCCAAATGTTTTCTTCAGAAGAAAGGCCACAAGGCCTCTGTTAAAAAAAAAGAAGAAGAGATGATGATTTTGGAAGTTATTTAAGCTGATACATGCTTTTAGAATTTCCTTCAAGTTTATGATCCAAGTTCCTAAGTTTCAAGACCAATTCACTCCCCTAACACCTCCTGTGGCTGGCTGGGTGTGTCTAGATTATCATACTTTCCACAGGAAGAGATAAGAGGTAATGGAGAGAAGGGAAAGTACCTCTGAGGGAGGCAGGGAACAGAGAGGCAAGTCCTGGCTAATGCTCCCTCTGTCCCTTCTACCCACAATTGGAAGCCAGTGGAAGTTAATGCTTCCGCTCAGCCTTCCTTATGGGCTAACAAAGGCAAGAGAGTCTCACTCATGACACACTTTCTGGGGATACATTGAGTCTTTCAAAAAAAAGAATAGAAAGGCAGGATGACGTCTAGCAAGGAACACCTTTTTTCTTGGTGTTTTAAAATAAAGATATACATGAAAAGCAAATATGGGAAGCTTTTAGAGGGAACTGCATATGAAATCATTCAGCAAATGTTTTGGTCTGTATCTTAAATAATCAGAGTGGAATATTCACAAGAATCCAAATTTTAAATGTTCTTCATCAGTGCTTAAGTACTTTCCTTTATTACTAATACTAAATGTAAAGCACTAACATAATAGTACAATTTAATATAACGTAATATATCCTTACATAAAACATTCAAAATCTACTCCATGAAAATGTAAATGATCACCGGTTTCAATTGGAATACAAACACAGTCCAGTATGTGTTTAATATTTTATTTTGTGTCTTATTTTAAATAAGAATAAGCTTCTACTTCACTACAGAAGTATTCAGTATAAAAAAGTTTTTATCGATGTTTCACTCTCAGCAGAAAATAACAAAGTTATTTTACCTATTTGTGATTTTACCTATTGCATTTCTCTATTAAAGTTTTAAAAATATTTTTTAGTTGTAAATGGACACAATATCTTTGTTTTATTAATTTATATGTGGTGCTAAGGATCAAACCCAGTGCCTCACATGTGCTAGGCAAGTACTCTACCACTGAGCTACAACCTTAGCCCTCTATTAAAGGCTTTTTTTTTTTTTTTTTAACATTTTGATTGCTACTATACCTTAAAGAAAAAAAAATAGTATCTTAATACCTAAATTCAGTATAATCTACTGAAAATGTCAAGGCTTGTTCAAGGATCTGAGTTAGTCCTAAGTCAGGCCAAGCTGGAACATTGAACAAACCATGTCCCGTTTGTCCTCTGTCTGTGGTTCATATTGTACTTTCACATACATCCTCTCACTGGACTCTCATAATTAACTCAAGAAACAGAAATGGAGCAAGTGTTACGATCTCCTTTAGAGATGATGTTTAGTGTCATGGGTCTCCAATTTTTTATTCCAGCTGGGACAGGGGAATAGCTCCATTGTCACCAGCTCCATTTAAAGGAGCAGTATCTCTAAGTGCTGTAGCAGAGAGGAAAAAGAAAAAGACTGTCATGGAACATATATAATATCTTCTCTCTCAAGAGACTTAGAAGCATGAAAAAAACTAAGTGAGTAATTATATTGGGGGAAAAGTTCTCTGTTTGGAATGATACTGATCATTCATTCATTTTCCATTCATTCGACAGATCATAGGGCTCCTAATGGGTGGCATGTTTAGTTCTGCCAGGAAGTGAGGAGGGGGCAATACAAAGAGCCAGCCTTCAGGAAAACTTACATTCTCATGAAATATGCAAAGCAATAAATGAGCACAATCATTTCAGAAGGTGATTCATTCTACACAGGAAATACACAGAAGGGAGGAAAGTGATTTTTTGTATGCGTGATCAGAGAGGTGAGATTTGAGCTAAGACCTGAAGAAATGGCCATCCAACAGAGCCAAGGGCCCTAAGCTTGGAGGAGCTGCAACAGGGTAGGCCAGCATTGGCCAGACACAGGCAGAAGAGAGAAGTGGACAGAAGCTATGTCGGGGCCTGAAGAGCCTCTAAGGCCAGGGAAAGTGGTTGAAGTTTGTTCTAAGCACAGAGAAAGTCACCAAGTCATATCCCACAAGAAAGGAATGTGATCTTATTTGTGGTTTTAAAAGATTATTCTGCCTGCTAAGTTAGGAGGGCAGAGTTGAAAGAGGAAAGACCAGTGAAGAGGCCATGTTAGTAGACCAGGCAAAAGATGGTGGTAGTCTGCCTGGTGGAAGAAGGAACAAAAGTCAAAATACATTCTGAAGCTAGACCTGGCAGCATTTGCCAAAGGACCAGATATGGAGGAAGAAGAGGGAAGGGAAGGGACCAAGGATAACTTATAGGTCTTCTAGCTTGAGCATGAGGCAGATGTAAATGCCTTTGATAGGGTTATGGGGGTAATAAAAGCCAAGGTTCTATTCTGGTTGTTAAGATAGAAATGTCTATAAGTTATCTAAGAGAAGACATCTGGTAAGAAACTAGATTCATGAGGCCTAAGCTTAAGGGAGTGAACTTAGAAATGTAAAAACCATCAGTACATGAGTAATGGTTAAAGACACAGGGCTGAGTGAAAGTTCCTAGGAAAGAGATGGCTAGAACAGTGAGACGGACTCTGAATTAGACCCTGATCTAGGAACAGAAATAGGAAACAGCAAGGGAATGTGAGAATTGCTACCAGAAAAGCAGGAGAAAAAAACATACAATCTACAAGTTCATAATGGTGCAAGTGCCCCAGGAAGTCCATAGGTAAAGATAAATAACTTCATCAATCGCTTCAGACTACTCTGTTCTTCTGTTATGCTAAAATCACCTTCACCAAAGTCACGTACTTATAGGTGCATTTTTAGAAACTAGTATACTGCCTGCTAAAAAAATCTCACCTTTGCTCCAGTGTCTCCCACTCCACGTAAACCCATTGGTCCAGGGGGTCCTGGTAATCCTCTAGGTCCCTGAGATAACATCAAAACGGGGCAATGAGCATCTTTGTAAAATGCAATGCTCAGAAAAAACAGAGGAAAGAAGGGTAGGAGAATAATATTTTCAACATTACACAGTTTAACACTCTTTATTACATATTTTATAACACACTAGAAGAGAGTAGTTTGAATGTTTCCAACATGAAGAAATGATAAATGGTTAAGGAGACTGAAATACTAAACATCCTGACTTGATCATTGTACATTACGTACATGTATCAAATTATCATATTGTATTCCACAAATATGGACAATTATGTGTAAGTTTAAAATTAAAAAAAATACAAATATAAAGAAAAAAGGGAAATATCCACACTTACAGCCACACCAGGATAGCCGTCGCCTTTGAGTCCTGGAGCACCCTTGGGTCCCTGAGGGCCTTGGGCACCCTAGGTAAATTTCAATACCAGGTGATATCATGAGGCTAAAGCATGAAACACCTGGCAAAACTTAAGCAACACCAACTCAATATACCAAAGAAATATTTGATGAGTGCAAAGGAATAATTTGAAAAATGTTAGGAGATAATCCTACCACATTCAACAATTTGTTACCTCTTCAGAAGCCTTATCCACCTGAGCTCAGGGGGAAGAAGTACAGTTTGAATGTAGGGAATATATAGAAACCATTATAAAGTCCTCGATTGGAAACACAATTACCAGGAATTAGAAAATGGCTTGCGGGTAATATTTCAATTTTCAAAATAATAAATAGTATATCATAAATCTGGGAGGAACATAAAAAATTCAGTAAGCACAATGTGAGATAAGCAAAGTAAATTCATAGCAAAAATTTCAGGGTGGAATAGATAATTCTACACTCCTTGCTGTTGTGTTAAACCTATTATCTTCATCGATGGTACCCAAATTACATGGGGGAATGAATAAACCCAAACGAAAACAAAAGGAGATTTTTTTTTTAAGTTATGAAAGGATGGGACACTGATAGTTTGTGGTTCACTATCTTTGGAACTAAGGAAAAGTTATAAATATTGCTTAATAGTGACAATCTCAGGCATCAAAACTTTGAGCAGCAGTCATTCACTTTCCATTCAGAGATTAGGGAGAGGTAATTTTTGTGTAATTGTAATTACACAAAATTTAATATGTAATTCTCTTACAAATAGAAATCCAAAAGATTTTTGACTAAAGTAAAATTGGGGAACAGGAAGGAAAAAAAATGAATCTTTTAGAAGATTTGTTAAATATAAAGTCTAATAAACCATGCCATTCAGTTACTGTGGCAACTCCTACAACCTTGTCAATCAAAGTAAACCACCCTTCCTGGTGCTCATGTTTTAAAATATGTGTTTTTTTACATTAGGAGAAAACTCTAAAAATAGGCAGACTTTATTTTCCTCAAACAGTAAAAATAAACAATACCCAAGAATTTTCTTTACATACAAGCAAATTCTGAGATCAAATTGGTACTACTCCAACCCAAAATGTTGTCCAAAAGTTAACTCTCTAAAATTTCCTAATTCTATGACTGAATGATTGATTAGGGGAAGGAAAAATAGCACATACCTTTAAAGCAATGATAAATTTATTTTGAAACCATGCAGCAGCTGTTTTCTCCTAGTAAATCTAAGAGACTAGTTTTATGTGATTAGACTTCTTAAAAATGATCATCTTTAAGAAATGTGTAGCCCCATATAAAAACTTAATGCACTATTTCATCAACAAAAACTTATGATTTTTTGAGAGATGTACAATAAAGAAAAAGCACATAATCTTTAGAGGAGGTAAATTTTAGTATGTCCCCTGCTACAGGAAATTGGTCACTGAGTTTGAAAACTCAGAAGCAATTTTTTATGCTATTCCAATTACATTTAAGGTTTAAGCTCTGAACATTCATGTATAAGACTTGTCCCCAAATAATATTCCCATTTCTTCCCATCCTTATACCAGGAAAAGGCCTGCAACAAAATAAAGCAATAACTGCCTCCCTGGTTAAGCTGAAAAAAAAAATTGGAATCAAAATTCACTTTTCAAATCTCTCATCTAAGTTCCAAGCAATAATCAATCATCAGCTGTTATTGATTAACCTCTGCACCCACAGTATGGGGCAAAAAACAAAACAAAACATAGAAACACAGTTTACAAACATTTTCTTTTCTTAGATATCTTTGCCCTCTCTCCTGCAAAAAATTTTACTTAACTAGTTGCTTCTAATGTTAATAGGAAATATCAAGAGAATAGGGGTAGACTTTTATTTTGAACTCTTCACAGTGTTTTTATATATGGAATTTTGCCACTTGGCCTTTCTGCACTGGATTCAAGGGAATGTCCTAAAAATGATTTACTTTGAAGTCTTTCATTCAACAGAAATTTGGATGAAAATTGAAATCTGGTGTTTAGAAATGGGTCCGAGAGTTCCTTGAAATAGTACACAAAAGTGAATTCATATGCCAAAACCTCCATTGGCCATTCAAAGAAGAATGTGACCTTCCAAAACCGTAAAAGCTAATGAATTAGGAAATAATGGCAGAAAGAACAGCATTAGAGCCCAAAGGATTAGGAAAATGTTTGGTTGAAAGCAAATATCTTTAAATACAATTACCTACAATGCCCAGTGTTCATCAGCAGGAAAGAAGTGAGGTTTGAAAACTCTAGCAGCACATTTAATTAGACTTTATTCTTATTTCAAAGGAAGTACAGAGAGATAAGTATAAATCATGGATTGTGCATACACAGTTATCAAACAGGATGAAAACTGTCACACTGATATAATTAAAGAAAGTCATGTCTGCAGTTTCTCACCAGAAAAAAGGAATTTTTATCTAGGGGCGGTGGTGCACAACTGTTATCCTAGTGGCTTGGGAAGCTGAGGCAGGAGGATCATGAGTTCAAAGCCAACCTCAGCAACTGAGCAAGGCGCTAAGCAACTCTGTCTCTAAATAAACACGAAATAGGGCTGGGGATGTGGCTCAGTGGCTGAGTGCCCCTGAGTTCAATCACCAGTACCCCCCCCCCCAAAAAAAAAGGAATTTTATTTTCTTGAGCTATCTACATAGCTTAGGTTCCATATAACACGAAGTCTGGGGTAGGGTGAAGAACCCATCCCAGTTTGCATAAGATTTTCCCAGCTTCAGTCCTGAAAGCCTAGCATCCTAAGAACCCTCAATCTTGGACAAACTAGGGCACTCAGCACTCCAGCAGGAAGAAGTGCTAAAACAGTAAGAAGAGTGGAGGATCTTCAACACTCCAATTTATGTCTGTTTTTAATAGGTTATGAATTATGTTTAATTTAAAAGACGACTCCAACTTTTTTTTTTCAGTTTAAGTACTTTAACCTTTTTAGCTAAATGAGACATAAGATACGACATATGATAAGAGAATATAGAAATGTGCCTCAAAGCTCCATGGCAATATGCTATTCATTTAATAAGTATTAATTATGGGGCCTGGAAGTCTGTTCCCATAAACAGAGATGGTTGATACCTAGGAATGTTATAAATGCTAAATTTTGCTGCAATGTTGGGTATAGTGTGAAAAGGGAAATGGTGATTTGTGACCATGGAAAACCAGTTGGTTAGGATCTTGTATAATTATTTGTGTTTTCACCTGAAATAACTCAAAAGGATGAAAAATCAAAGCAAGCAAAACTTTGATCCAATAAAGCTTCCAAATGTGAGCTCTTTTGGACAGTGTCTTGCAAACAGCTATGCGTTCATTGGTAAATAAATGAAAGAGCCAGAGGCCATTAAAACCCTTATATCACAGACATTGCAAAAACAGCATTTTCAAATAATTGTCTAATCAGCAAAAATATAACAATAGGAACTACTGTTTTCCACATATGTAAAAAAATAAACTGATTTTTAAAGAATATAGTTCTAAAATTTATTTCATCAATACAGAGAATTTACAAGTAGAAAAATCCACTTAATAAGTACTAGGCTTTTAGACTTACTTCCAGGGAATGGTGATACATGAGGGTTTTTAAGAGAGGAAGGGAAGATGCAAAATAAAAATAAATGTGAGACGTTCTCCACCAAAGAGGCTTTAAATTATAATAGTGGTCTACGTTTACTGGACGCCTTATAGGTGTAGTCATATAATTCTGCTTAAACTATGAAAGAATTCCTTTCTATTGCTAAGGTTTAGAGGACTTAAGTAATTTACTAAGACTAAACAGAATATTGATGATGGCACATCAGACCGTCCCTACAGCCATGCTCTGGTGGCTGGAATCGACCGCTATACCTGCAAAGTGACAGCTTCCATGGGCAAGAAGAAAATCGCCAAAAGATCAAAGATCAAGTCTTTTGTGAAAGTTTATAATTACAATCACCTCATGCCCACAAGGTACTCTGTCGATATCCCCTTGGACAAAACTGTCGTCAACAAGGATGTCTTCAGAGACCCTGCTCTTAAACGTAAGGCCCGTCGGGAAGCCAAGATTAAGTTTGAAGAGAGGTACAAGACAGGCAAGAACAAATGGTTCTTCCAGAAGCTTCGGTTTTAGATATTTTTGTTGTTGTTTCCATCATTAAAAACAAAATTTAAAAAAAACAAACAAAAAAATAAGTACTAGGCTTTGGATCTTGACTGTCCCCCAAAGGTTCATGTGTTAAAGGCTTAGACCACAGTCTGTGGCACTAAAATTGTGTGGTGGTAGACACTTTAAGAGGTGGGGAAGCTAGATCATTGTAGATGTGCCTTTGAAGGGGACAATGGGACCTTGCATGGCCTCTTCCTGTTCTTTCTTGGCTTCCTGGTTGCCTGGAGCTGAAAAGGCCTCCACCATGTGTTCTTGCCATCATACACTATGACACCACAGGCCCAAAGCAAGAAGGCCCAGAAAACATGGACTGCAACCATGAGCCAAAATAAACTTTTCCTCCTTAGGAGTTGATTATTTCAAGTATTTTGTCATAGCAATGAAAAGCTAACACAGCAGGCATTAAGTCGACTTCTCACATGCAAAGAAAGGAAAAGAACATGAATAAAGCGTACCTTTGGTCCTCGAATAAAAAGTCCAGGTTCTCCTTTAAATCCAGGCATCCCAGGACCTCCTCTATCTCCCTGTACATTTCAAATAACATTCACAGGCTCCAGGTTGTGTGAAAAACCACAAGGCACACAGCATAAAAGAGACTGGCCAATCTGAAAGAGCTTAATCTACCAACTCAAGTCTTAAAATATTATATTTTTTTAACAAATTTGAGGGGAAGTTCAAATCCTAATAAAACTTGCCAATAAAGACTACTACAGCTGTTTGGAGAAAACTCACTGAAATAATAAGTGGCAATTTAGACTCAAATATTTAAGCTGTAAGAATGCCTGGGGATGTTCTTAAAACTTAGTGTATTTCTTTTCTGCCAAGCTTTTCAATTATACATCCTAGTAGACTTTTTTCTGAATAAATGCAATAAAATTCTTGCCTGCCCTGGGGTCTAGGATTTGGAAGAAGTAGTACAGGATGAAGTTAACACTGGAAACTCTGCTAACTGCAGTGGCTAACTCTACTGCTGGCTTTTGGTCTGCTTATCTGTGAAATATCAGGGTTAAATGAGACCATTTCTTAGGGATCTCCCAAAATAGAAATTCTAGTTCACTAAATCATGATCCACTGGGATCATAAAATATAAAATTTTTTCCCCTCTAACTGCCACAGATCCAAGTAAAAGGAAAAAATTTCTAAGAATATATACCTTTGGCCCAGGTGGTCCAGGAATTGATGGTCCAGGCATTCCAAAAGGGCCCATAATGCCCTGTTCACCCTTAAAAAGAGGAAAAAAAAAACTTCAATGTCTGAAGATTTTAGAATATTAGTCTTTCATAAATTAATGTGAAAATAATTTGAGCACCTTTTGTAAATCATTGCTAAAGTAGTCAATCCATAAGATTTCAGTGTTCTCTATTAAATGTATTCAGTTAATTCCTGAGTGTTAGAAGAAATTTAATCTCTTGTGCAACTTTTCACTAGCTAATACAGATGTTGCAATCCACCGTCCTTCCCTTTTGTATTGTATGCCAGGAAGCTCAGAAAGAAATGTTTTGTTAAATTATAGCAATGTCTTCCACATAAGTTTTAGAGTACACTTCAAATTTCAATTTTTTTCCTTTTTTTTGTTTCATTTTAATGGCCTATAGTATATCTTTTTTGTGGCAGGGGGTACAGAGGATTGAACTCAGTTGCAATCAACCATTGAGCCACATCCCCAGCCCTATTTTGTATGTTATTTGAAGACAGGATCTCACTGAGTTGCTTAGCACCTTGCTTTTTGCTGATGCTGGCTTTGAACTTGCAATCCTCCTGCCTCAGCCTCTGGAGCTGCTGGGATTACAGTTGTGTGCCATGGCACCGGGCTCAATCTTCCACTGTATGTTATCTTACATCCTTTTTTAGAAGTTGAGAGTTCATAGATTTTTTTAAAAAATTAACTTTGGATAGGGCTGGGGAAGTGGCTCAAGCAGTAATGCGCTCGCCTAGCATGCGCGGGGTGCTGGGTTCGATCCTCAGCACCACATAAAAATAAAGATGTTGTATCCACCAAAAACTGAAAAATAAATATAAAAAAAATTAACTTTGGATAGAAAACCTAAAGTACTTTTTTTCTTTTCCTCCCCTTTCTGCTCTCTTCCTCCCTAACTACCTTTTTGGATTTAATAGTAAGTCATAGAGACTCAATTTGGAGCAAGAGGTAATTCCTCTGTCTCACCTGAAATGTAAACCAGCAATTCTCAAATTTTAGTAAGTATAAGAATTATCAAAAGAGTTAGGTGGATATGCAGCCCTAGGTTTCAAGTCCCAGAGCTTCAGATTTGATCTAGGGGTGCAGCCCAGGAACAGGCATGTTCATGAAGTACCTCTGATGACTCTGACATGGACCCCATTACTATACTTTAGAAAACCATATTTCAAAGCAACTTTCACTGCACACACCACAAATCCCATTGTTTATGAAAATCCATAACATATAAGATAGTTTGTGAATAAAATTGATTAAAAATAAACAAGACAGGCATTGTGATGCACACATATAATCCCAGTAATTCTGTAGGCTACGACAGGAGGATTACAATTTGAGACTGGTCTGAGACCCTAATTCAAAATAAGAATTAAAAAGGGACTAGGGATGTAGCTCAGTGTTAAAGTGCCCCTGGGTTCAATTTCAAATATGTATAAATAAACAAATCTATACTGGAGTGTGATCAGAATTTTACTGCCAGAGTTTTTACAACCAGAACAATTTGGAAACTGTTGCTCTGGAGTAGATGTGGCCAAAGCCACCCTGCCCCCAGATTTTGAAGAGCACTGGGCTAACAATGGGTTTTCATGGATGCAATGTCTTCAATTTTGCTTCTTAGCCCACGAATTTAAATATTTACCATCTTCCCTTTACAAAAACAAAAACAAAACCGTGGAGAACTGCACTAGCGATTGATCTATTTCTATGCTATGCTTCTATCTGACCCGCTAGGACTTCAGATTGATGACTAATCCTTCCTCTGCCTGATTCATGTCCTCTGAGCTGTCTCTTGGGTTTCCCACTTCCTCCAGGAGGGACTCCATGGGTCTGATTCACCAGTGAAGAGCCAGTGTCCATCTTCCCACCTAAGACCTCTACTGGGTGGTAAAATTATCCATTACAACCCACAAGGTAAGAACACCGATCTGCTGGGGCCCAGTCCTTGTGAGGGCATGTACAAGCCAGTCCTTAAACCTGAACCCTGTAGGGTTTGGCACAATGCATAACCAGTACTGGCACATACATGTCAGTCAGATAAACCCCCTATTCAATCCTGTGACAAAGAAACAAGATACCTGTTAAAATTCCTCACTAAAATGAGAGGCAAAGAAAAATTATGCTTCTAGATTTAATTTGTCCTTATTTTTAAAGGCTCATTTTAAACTATAAAAAGTATCACAGAAAGTATATAGTTTTTAGGCATACAAAGCCCCTGGATGAAGGTACGATTATGCTTTAAAATATGGCAATTCTGCAACTCCACCTTAAGGGGGAAAAATCCTTATTTCAAAATATAAAAATACTCACTTTGAGTAGGAGCAACAAAAACATTAAAAGTAAGCCCCGTTATTCACACTAATACCACACATTTCTTATATAGTGGACATTTCTCAAATTGTGCTACTTGAACTACCAATATCTGAGGACTTTCTTGGAGAAATGCAGATTACGGGGACCCACCCACTAATTGAATCCTTATCTCTAGGAATAGGACCAAGAAATATGGATTTGTGACAAACTCACCAGGTGACACTGATGGACGCTAGCATTTCAGAATCACTGGTCTACAGGTGAGGCTTTGGTTTTTTACCTGCTCTTGCTAATACCATTCTTCAACATTTGTTCTTCAATCATCTCATCCTTGAATATACTCCTTATCTCTTTTCTTACAATCAGCATCTTCCGAGGGGCATAAATTCTCTTGAATTTGCAGTCTACTTCTTCTTTTTTTTTAGTTTTGTTTCATTTTGTTTTACTTTTTCTTTTTTTTTCTTTAATTTTTATTGTTGGTTGTTCAAAACATTACATAGTTCTTGACAAATCATATTTCACACTTTGATTCAAGTGGGTTGCAGTCTACTTCTTGACATATTCAAAACAGTCATAATGTTCTCACCTGACTCAGGACACCTCCTTGCCTTACAATCTCCTTCAATTCCTCCTCAGCTCCCTGTTCTGGACAATTTATGAGGATCACAGGCCCCTATTTTCTATTTCACAGTATGGATTTTTTCTCTCTGAATAACTCCATGTGATGAATACTTACTAGGTGCCAGGTACCATGCTGAATGCTTTATTAACTCCTTATATTCACAATAACTCTGTGAAATTAATCATATTTTGTTCTTTCCATATGGGAAGCAACTGGCTCTGAGAAGCTGGAGCCAAGTCCAATGGAAGGGGCCTCCTGAAGCCTGCTCCTCCTCAGGCCGTGCTGCCTCTCAGTCCCCCAACTTCTTGTTCAGCAAAATGATATAATGAAGAATTGGTATTTTCTATGGCCCCAGCTTTATCTCAACTTTTGAATGTTTGGTAATTGAGCAGGTTGACATACAGATTCCCTCTTAGAAGCATAAATATTCCTGTGAAGATTACATACTCCATGGATCTCTTTACTGAATTCTATTTGGGTCTGGGAGTAGAATGTTTTCTAAAGGCTTTTTTAAAATTATTATTTGGGGGGTTTTGTTTTGTATTTGTTGGGAAGGAAACAAGTAATCAAATTTGCAGTGGAATTCTAATCTATTGAAACCAGACACAATTACAATCTCCTGAAAGCAAAATTAGAATATAAGAAACATACCTTTGGTCCCGCGGGTCCTGGAAATCCCATATGTCCTTGATTTCCTTTGCTTCCTTTCTTTCCTTCATCACCCTGACAAAATAATTATGAAAATATAGATGTTGTAGTAACAAACCCTCTCCCAACCTAACAATGACCACCTCCAAGCCAGATTCTCAACAAATACCAATTTTAAGGCGATATGCCTGAGCCCAGCTTAGTTGTACAGGGTTTGTCAATGTTCTTCAGAAAAACTGAGTAACTCCAGAATTGTTCTGTCTTCATCAATTATTCAATATGATTTAATATTTTTAAAAATCTACATTCTGAATCTTTGAGAACTTTTACTTGAATTTATACTTGTTTTGCGCCCTTGGTCTATTAACAGATGGTTCTGAGGCATTCAGAGTTTCAGGAAAGAGATCTGACTATGCTTTTTCATCTTGTCTTTCTGTTTTAATGCTATTTCGATTTTAAAACATTAAAAAAAGACATTTTTTACAATCCCATTTCTTCCCCAGTGGGGAGTCTAGTTCATTCCTCCCAAGGAGACAAATCATGGTAACATAGGTTCTGTAGTAAGATATTTCAGCATTAACCCAAAGCAGATCCAAAAACAGCCTTCTGGATGTTTCAAGCATGGCTGTGTCAGGCAGGGCTCCCCCAAAGCAGTTGTTACCTTCAATCAGGAAGCCTCCCAACTTTATGCACTGTTTCAACTAAGGCTCTCCTGCTGTTATCATTAGGGTGTCCAGTTGGGGTTCAGGTCCTGGTGCCCCAAAGAATTGAGCAAGTGTACAGAAGTAACAGGCAAAGTATGGATTTATTGAAGGTGAAGGTAAAAGTAGCACTCCTTAAGGTAGAACAGAGGGGCCCAATGTCTGGAAATTAGAGTTTTATATGTGGAGCTGTGAGGTGCTGTCTTCCCTAGATGGACCTGATTCAAGGCCTTACCTCACTTGCTCCTATTGGTTACCTTATATACCTGATTCAAATATGGTCCAATTTTCCCCCATTGGTTACTTTAGAAAACCTAATTACAATACTGCCCACTTTATCCCCATTGGTCATTTTAAAATGCCAAACCTGTGGCGGGAGTTGTCATGGTTCTAAGGCCTCAGTGGCGGGAGTTGTCATGGTAATGGGACTTACCCTACACAGGGACATGAGAGTGCATCCCCTGTCTATTCTTCAGCAGCATCTTTCTTAAACCCTGCTTCCACCATCTTGGCATCCTGAACTACTGCCTAACACTGTCAAATCCACGTGTGGACCCACCCCACCAAAGGAATTGCTCTTTGGGGTTTGCAGTTGAGGTCACTTAAATATTCATGATATAAATGATTAAACCATGGTTTTCAAACTTGAGCATCTGAATCACCTGGAGGGCTTGTTAGAGTAGATGGCTGGGCCCCACACCCAGAACCTCTTAATTAGTAGGTCTTCAATGGTGCCCAATTTTAATTTGCATGTCTAACATTCCTAGGTGATGTGACTGTTTTTGGTCCTGGAACCACACGTTGATGACCAATAGACTATTCTACAGTCATCAACAAAGAAAATGTTCCATCAAGAAGAAGAGGTGGACTCCCATGGAATGGACAGATGAAATGAACTCCCAGAGTCCATACTAACGGACAGCAGCAACATAGGTTAAAAAAACAGGTGTCCAATTATCACTATCACATCATTATTACTGTTATTAGAGACAAAACATAACCAACACTATTTATTTTCTTCCACTCTCTTCCAAACCTACTTATTGGCCTCAATTACCCCAGAAGAAAAGGAACATAACTAAATGAAATGAAGTGTCAACACTGCACCATGACCTGCCTGGGCTATAAGATGATCCTGCCCCCTCTTCTCCAATGGCCTTCCAGAAGCCACAGACCACTTCAAAGCCACAAGTCTAGTGGCCTTTCCCTGCAGTGCACATTCTCCTTGTTTATTTTGTAGTATTTATAGTTTCATAGGACATAGACTTTTCTTAAGCTATCAATCATAATTTTATTAGAATTATAATAAAATATTAATAAGTATACAAATTTCATTTTTACTTTATTCATATATCATCCATAAGAATCTTTATATGCATATTGATGACTATTTTATAAAAGTTACAGAGACATCTGGCACCTTGGAGGCTGTCAATTATGTCACTACTAGCCTCACCCTACTCATGAATTTATATTTCTCATCTTCACACAGAAAGATGTCATTCAACCAGCATTTCTACAGGGTGTAAAACATACCACATTGTGAAATAAAATCACCATTTATTTTATTTTTTAATTCTTATCTATTTATTTACTTTGTGGTGTCAAGGAGCAAACCCAGGGCTTTGCACAGGCCAAGCACACATCTTACACAGCGCCCCACTAGATGGCCATTAAAAAAAGTTATATTTCTTACTATTGTATGAGATTCTATAAAGATCTAAAGAAAATTTATGGACTTTCAAGTTTCAACAATGTGTCCTGAGGCCTCTTCTCCTTCTATGTGTTTTTTAAATGTCAATGTGACCATTTATTGAGAAAACATGTGTTGAACTCTTCTCTATGCTGTGTCTTATGATAGATGTTAGGAAGATAAAAATGAATAATACATTGCTGTCTTCCAAAAGCTTACAAGATAGTATCCATAATTTAAAGCCAGATGTAAATACATTTGACACAGCAAGAATAATAGGTTGGTTCCATAGCATCAGGACCAGAACATAGACAGGCTGTTTCCCCCAACACCTCGTCATTTGCAAACCTTGGGACCAGGTTGTCCTTTTCCAGGCGGTCCTTCTGGGCCTCTTGTTCCTGGAAGCCCGGCTTCTCCCTAGAGGAAATCACACTGAAGTCTTAGCTAACGTTCCATAGACAGAATACATAATTCTACCTTGTCTCCTCTTATTGCCAGCAGATTCAGCTGAGACCCTCCACTCTAGTCTCAAAATTAATTTGGAAGCATATCAATGAATAAATTAACATTAAACTTCAGTTCAACCAGAGCAGCTGAAATATCATGAAAAAGTCTAATTTCTCAGCCAATTTTCAAAGCAATAAGCTCACTTTCCTTTGGCTCTTCATTCACATTTGGTGGATATTATTTTTAACAAGAAAGACCTTCAGCCTTTCCATCTGCTGTTTTTCAGTACTTTTATTGAAAAATGAGTATTTCAAATGTCAACTCAAAATTATTCAGGAAATCTTTACAATGGTCTTACTTCCTGAATGCATTTACAGACTCTCCTTTTGGAAAGGGTAAAAGGGGTATTTTTCTTTAAGTTTAAATTAATGTGCTTTCTAGAAATCCTGAAGGAACTAGGTTACTGGAAAATGCCAAGGCCAAAATACCAGAGAGGAGGCAGAGAATGTGAAACACTATTTTAGCCTTTAAATTGGTACTCTTTCTATCCAGAGTAAGTGAAAGGGAAATTTAAAATTGTGTGACTTTTCTTTTTAAAGATACTCTTTGTCCTGGATGGTTTAATTTGAGCTCCTTCAGGACCAAGATACCAGTCTGGTCCAATGGTTTGGACTCCAATAATATGAAAACCTTACTCTTACCTTCTTCCCTGCAGCTCCATCTTCTCCTGGTTCTCCTGGTTGACCCGGGGAACCTTTTGAACCTGGCTCCCCCTGGTGGATAAACAAATATATTATCTCCTTTAAGGTTGTAGTTACCAACCACCTACATTCCGAGGTACTTGCAATTAGATACACTTACAATGTTTGAGAAAAGTCTCTGAGGGGAGAAATATGATTAGTAATTAATAGTAACTAAGCTGGTTGACCTTGGGCACATTACTTCACCTTATGTGCCTCAGTTTTGTATTCTATGGCCATGGGTTCAATAGCAAGCCCCCCAAAGTGAACTTGGTTAGAATAGAGTCTGCAGATATGGTCAAGTTAAGATCAGGTAATTAAGATGAGTCCTAATAAAGTATTAATGGTGTCTTGATAAAAATAGGAAAATTCCAAGTGAAGAAAAATACATAGGGAAATTATCATGTGGCCACAGAGGCAAAGACAAAAGTGAAAATAATAGTAGAGCAAGGATCAGGACCACAGCTACACAGACAAGCAAGGATTCTGCCTACAGGCTTGGGGGAAAGCAAGGCCTGTGAACACTTTGACTTTGGACTTCTAGCATCCAAAAACCATGAGAAAATGATTTTTTGTTTTCCTAAGCCACCAAGTTTGTGGTTCTTTGTTATAACATTACCTCTGGAAAACTAACATAAAATGAAATGAAAAATTGGGCCCCAACACCACTTCCAGTTCTCATATTCAATCATTCTATTTGCTTTCAACTTAATTTGTGATTAAAAATAAGTACTTGCTGGGTGTGGTGGCGCATGCCTGTAATCCCAGCAACTCAAGAGGGTAAGACAGGAGGATCATGAGTTCAAACCAGCCTCAGCAAAAGCAAGGCACTAAGCAATTCAGTGAGACCCTGTCTCTAAATTTAAAAAACACAAAAATAGGGCTGAAGATGTGGCTCAGTGGTTGAGTGCCCCTGAGTCTAATCCCTGGTACCCCCCCCAAAAAGAAAAAAAAAGTTATTTAAAATATTCATTAAAAATGCTAATTTCAAAGAGCATAAAAGTGTTCATACAGCATTTAGTAAAAGCAAAAAAATATTGACTTAATCAAAAAACATTTCTGCTAATATAAAAAAAGCTAGTGGGAGTAAAAAACATAACAAAACTTTTTTTAAAAAAGTAGAATACAACAAACATGAAAGAATAAAAAATAAACTTGAAAATAAAATGTACAAAGATTCACAAAATTAAAAGGCAACAGTTTTTTTTAAGGCAACAGTTTTTAAAAACTAATAATAATAAATAAATCTCTAACAGGAATTTTTAACATTTAAAAAAGAAAATTTTAAAATTTTATACAAGGTTTTCTAAAAAGTTTGACATCATTATTAAAAGTACATGTATGAAGACACGGATTGGTGTGAACACACTTTATATATAATCAGAGATATGAAAAATTGTGCTCTATATGTGTAATAAGAATTGTAATGCATTCTGCTGTCATTTATTTTTAAAAATCAATTTTAAAAATTTAAAAAAGAATTATTATGCATTCCATTGTTGTTCACATTTTTAAAAAATCAACAAAAAAATTCTGTAAAAAAATAAACAAATGCATTTTCAATTAAAAAAAGGGATTTCTAAAAACTAGAAAAAGAAGGAAATCTACCCAATTTGATATGACTCAATAATTTCACAATTTCACTTCTGAGTTCTTATCTAAGAAAAATGAAAGCACTTGTTGTCCACACAAAAGCATATAAATAAATGTTCATAGCAACTTTATTTAAATTATCCAAACCCTAGAAACAATGAACTTACCAGAGGCAAATGAATAAGTTGTGATGTATCTACACAATGGAAAACCACACAGCAACATGGAAAAATAAACCATTCATAATGCTACAATATGTATCTCAAAATGATTTTGCTAAGTGAAAAGAAATTGGAAAAAATACATAGTATATGATTCCATTTATACAAAATTCTAAAAACCGTAAACTAATATGTACTGACAAAATGCAGATCAATGGTTAGCAGATCATTGAAAAGTGTATTATTATACAGGAATATTGAGGGAGAGAGGGAAAGATGGTATTACAGAAGGTAACAGAACTTTTGTGGGTAATGGATGCCTTTATTATCTTAGTTGTAAGAGGGTTTTCTAGCATAAACATATACTAAAACTCATCAAATAGTGAAGTTTAAGCATGTATAGCTATTATATGCTAATCATATAATAAACAATTATTTTAGATGTTTGCAAAATCCTGAATAAAATATTAGTCAATTGAATCATCATCATGAAAGAATATACTTATGATCAATTGATTTAACTCAAAAGTACAAGGATGATTCAACATCTAAAAATTCTGTTAATGTATCCGTTTAACAGGTTAAAAGGAAAAAAAAAGATACAATTATTTAAAAATATGTAGAATTATATAAAATTTAGTATTCATTTATAATTAATAAACAGCATTTAGTATAGTTGAAATAAAAGAGAATTTCATTGACCTAATAGAGGGTATATTCCCAAAACTACAGCAAACATCACACTGAAGAGTGCCACTTCAGAAGCACTTCCTTTGAGGTTACTTCTTTTCAACAATTTACCTAAGATCCTAGCACTTTAATAAATCAATAAGAGGAAATAAATATAAAAATAAATAAGAGACAGAAGGACTAAAAAAGAAAAACTGTTTTCAATTTCAGACAACATTATCATGTACACATGGTGTTAAAAAAAAAAAAAGCAAGAGACTCTACAATTAGAATAAGTGAGTTCACATTGTGAATAGATTAAAAAATCAACATACCAAAACTAATACCAAACAAATTAAAAACTTTTCCTATAGATTGCTAATAACTAGGAGATACAGAAAAAGAGAAAAATTCCAATTACAAACATTTTTCCTGGATATCTGAGAATAATTTTAACAAAAGAAGTTCAAGTTATGAAATCTCTGGAGAAAATGATAAATATTTTCCTAAAAATCTGAATTTTATCTTGTAGTTTAAAAGTTTCAATGTTTGGTCTCTAGATTCAATGCTATCCTAATGGGACATTTTGTTAAATTTGGCAATCTAATCCTAATATACATGTTAGAATCAATAGATAATAAGCAAGAAAGAAGACGATGTATTTTTCCCATCAAATGCAAAACTTATTTTTAATCTGTCATAGTCAATAGCAGGAAGTAGCACTGAGAGAGATATACAAAGAAAGCATCATAGGCCGCTCAGGCACTGATCCTCACAAATACAAAATCCTGACATAGAACATGATGGCATTACAAATCAGTGTGACCAAGATGGTTTATTCAAGAACTGAAGCACGAACACCTGGTTATCAATGTGAGGGAAAAAATAAATCCTACATTAGCCCATATACAAAAACAGATTCCATGTGGATTTAAGACCTAATTTTTTTAAAAGACACTAAAAAAATATTCAGAAACACAGGAATATCTTTATGGCTATAAGGCCAATAAATACTTTTTAAATAATAGTTTTAAAGCAGAAGTCATAAGGTGATAGAAATGTAAAACTTCCATACACTAAAAGATACTCCAAACTGGAAATGCAAGCCCCAGACTAGGAGAAGATATTTGCAACCCATCTAACAAAAGAATAACATCCAGATAAAGAACAAGGAAAAAAAAAAAAAAAACCTAACCTCAAAAAAAAGAATGAATATAGCAATTTACAAAGAGAAAAGCTAGAGGTCCATTAAGCACATGAAAAACTGTTCATTTAGTAACAGGGAAAAAAACTAAAACAATGAGGTATATTTTACACATTTTGTGCTGAAGTCACTGCCTGTTGCTATTAGGAGCATCATATGGCACCCCTGTTGAACAGGACTTTGGCAAAGCAAAGTTGAAGACTTGCATACTGTGCAGTCTTCCAGTCCTACCTCTATCTTCCACAAGTGAGGGAACCTTGGACTCTAACTTATACAAAAGAGAACAATGTCAATGGAGCATGGTTGACAAAAGCAAAAAAATGAAAGGCAATTTAAATATCCTTCAACAAATGGGTAAACATAGAATGAGATTTTTCACACAATAGAAGAGTATAGAGCAATAAAAATGAATTAATTGATTATAGGCATATAAAAGTACTAATAAAACACACAAGACTAAGTATAACTACATTGCAGGATATGTATAGTTTAAGAACACAAAATAGTAATATGTGGTTTATGTATAAAAACACATGTAGGAAACTAGAAAAATTTGAAGGAATGATAAACACCAAAGTCATGATAGGGGTATGTCTGGGGAGGGGAGGCAGAGCAAAGGCCCTCAGACAGGGTGGAGCCTGTGTCTCTGCTTTATCTGTAGTGCTTCTTTAAAACTGAATTCTGAGTCAACCCGGCAAAATGTTATCATTTGATGAAGCTGGGCAGTGGAATACATGTGCATTCTTTGTATTATTATGTATACTGGTGAGCATATTTGAAATATTTTCTTTTTAAAAGTGAGAGAAACTTAAGGTTGCACAACTTGTAAGTGACAAAACTGGGATTTGAATTTAGGTGGTAAGGCTTAGCCTTGCTATATTGTAGACTGCCTCTCTGGAATTAATATATAAATGACATAATGTGTATGTACATATGCCACGCACTTAGCATATTAAGTAGCACATCAATACCATACAAAACTGTAGCTATTATGCTATATTAATATGTTTTTCTTTATAATTACACATATAACATGTCAATTATTCTTAGACCCTCAACTTACATATTCTTTTCTTTTTGGTGGGAGGGTAGTACCCGGGATTGAACTCAGGGGCACTCAATCACTGAGCCACATCCCCAGCCTTATTTTGTATTTATTTAGAGACAGGGTCTCACTGAGTTGCTTAGCACCTCGCTTTTGCTGAGGCTGGATTTGAACTTGAGGTCCTCCTGCCTCAGCCTCCTGAGCCGCTGAGATTACAGGCATGCGCCACCATGCCCAGGTTACTTTACATATTCTTCTAATACCCAAATGCTTTGTAAGAATCAAGGCAATGACAATAGAACAAGGGTGAAGTGTAGTGCTCAGCATGGCTCATCAGACCTACACACTTTGAGAATGAGTTACAGAACTTGTGAAGGGTGAATCCTTTTCTTCAGTAGTATTTATTGAGTGCCTATCAGGTCCTCAAAATAATCAACAAGATAAACAAGTGAAGCCCCAAGTGAAGCATTTCTTTTGGAACGGCACTGTATAATACCAATCATCAAGCAAGCCATGCATATAATCAGAATTCTTCTATTAGTCACATTTTAAGTTGTATCAAGTTAGATAGATGGCACATGCTGATCTGTATTGCAATTGGACATAAAGGAAGGTTTAATGTTACATAACTTTCTTAATAGCATCTGAACAGCAGAGTCAACTCACCTTTGGACCTTGTGCTCCAATCCCTACTGGTCCTCTAGGGCCTGTAGGTCCTATGGGGCCTACTTCTCCCTGGTAAGGAAAGAGTACTGAAATATTGCAGCAAAATAAAAACAACATATTCCTGCCTTTGATCTCCTAAGAGTTGTCTTCTTTCAACAAAGTGAGATAAAATAGTTTCATGTGCTTAATTCATACATGTATTGCCTGGGATCCTCTAGGCTAGATGGATTTTTATCATATTTGGAACATATAAATGTGAACCGACTTAAAATATAGGGTATGTAGTATGTTCACAATTGGCTAAGAGCTCCTGTGGAGGCACCTAGAAAAGATAGGCAGTTACATTCTAGAACAACTAAAACAGACACATTGAAAGCCAAAATGATGTCTGATCAAGAGCAACATCATAACCAGAGAGAGCAACCTGAGTTTTCAATGATACGCCTTCAATAAAAACCACAAGGAAAGCAGTAGTTTTCTATGGAGCTACTTCTCATATGGACAGCTGTAGGAAGTTTACTCTCAGGTGAGAAGTCTCTTGGGAGCATTTTGTTTATTTAACCGATTAGTGATTCCTTGAAACAACATTAAAAGTAGTTAGCTAAATAATAAGTGGCATGCCTTTCCTCCAGAGATAAATAACAGTTCCAAATAAAGCGGTAACTTGATACCAATGTTCATAGAATTAGAGGTATATAAAAACACAAATAAAATGTAAGGCTAAGTATAAATATATTGCAGAATGATAAGTAATGGTTCCATTCAGCTCATTTCTGACTGTCTCCTTAACAGCACTCCTGGGGGAGTGCTTATGAGAAAACCAATTAGCCAAAACCCAGAGAGGCCTGGAACCACAGGCCACAGTCTACTGACATTACAGTTTGCGTTGCCAGAATAGGGTCTACTACCCCAAAATATCAAAGAATATAAATAAGTCTGTGTAAGTAAAACCTTCTTAAAGCATAAAGAATATATATTACAATTTATAAATTGTTAGGAATATCAGTAATATTTGGTATAAAGATCTCTGATTTCTAAGTTCACTCTATCTGTTCTCTTCCAAATAACATTGACCAGAAAACAGCAATTCTACTATAGATAAACTCTGCTGTCATTTAGAAAGTTACCTTAGAACCAGGTAAGCCTTGTCCTGGGGGTCCTTGTGGACCAGGGGGACCAGTAGGACCTTGGATTCCCTTTGAAATAAAAAATTTAAGAATGTTATTAATGAAATCAAGAAGATATTTGGGTAAGAACAGTTTCAAGTCCTCTAACGCGATGATTTAGTTCTCATTCCATAATAGATGATTTATATGACATAAATGTTTTTCAAATGGAGTGGCAAGGGCTTTTAGTTGAAACCTAGATGGGATGGCAGACTAACAGAAGAGAACAGCCTGAACCCCTAACACTGATGGAGAGTCACCAGGCCAGCTTGGAATTTTGAGTAAGAAAAGTAAAATTTCATCAAATTGTTGACCCAATTCATATTTCTGTCACATGCAAGCAAACCCTATACCCCTAACTTGGACCGATTATATTTTGAGATGTTAAATTGAAAGTTTATCTGGGCTCTAAGAAGCAACAAGCCAGGAGATGCCACACTGAAGAATGACCAGACTGATTCTCTCCCTCACACTGCAGATGTAAAAGGTGGGAGGAAGAGAGGATTTGTAAAGTTCTCCAGTAGTCTAGATTTTAAGGAGGGTTTTTTGTTGTTGTTGTTTTTTAGAAAATGGAAGGGGTTTGAGTTACTTCTTTCTTTATACTGGTCTAGAAAGAGGACTTCAGTGGATATTTCTTACTTGTATAGTTTGATTTTTGTTTTGGGGACCCAAGGGGCCAGAGTCCAACTCAAGCTTGAGAAAGCTAAGATGGCCTGTGGTAGCCAAAAGAAGCCAGGGGCCGTCTGTGGATCCAGAGTCTACCAGAGCAAAAGTCTCATGAGATGTCCCTGCAAAGAAATTGTATGCTAAGTGTGAGACAGCGTTAGCCTGGAACTATTATCAGTCTTGCCCAAGAGACATGGAAGGATAACAGAACTCCAACAGAGAAAGTCCCCAGTAAAGCAGAGGCAGAGAGGGAGGAGCAGCTGTAGGAAGGGACTCTTCATCCACACCCTAGAAGGGACAGTCAAAGAGACCCATGAAGGAGCCCCACAAGGAAGAGGTCAGCTTCACACATCTGCAAAGCTCTGAGTGCCCAAAGCCACCTGCTATAGCACCAAACAAGAAAGAGTCCTCAGGCCCTCACACCCAGCCTCCTCCCTGGCTCAGCCCCAGAGAATTGAGAAATACTCCCTCCCTACAGATGGTACCAGATAATGAAGACTAAAAGCAAAGTAACATATTGACTGAACACTTTTTGTTACAGAATTAAGAGACTGGTAACTTGCAACGACCCTACAATTTTCTATTACTTAAAAGTGATTTATTTGTTTTTTAAAGTCTATAGTCTGTTGGAAATTCTTTCAAGACAGAAAAAGAGTCTCCCACGGGGAGGGGGGGACATTAAAGGATGATTAGAGAGAAAAAAATCTGTTTTGCTTATATCCCACAAATAATGTTTATTTTATACAGTTATAATGTAATAGATGTTATACCCTTTTCTCCCTTAGATGATACCACTGCTTTTTCATTTTAAAAATACAAATACTAGTCCCTTTTTCTCTGGTTGACAAAGGTAAGCAGCCCAAACAATTTAGGGAAGTTAAGGTTGTTGCACTGTCAATATGGACTGGTTTCAAAACATAACCCTTTCTGACTTTTACAGTAGTCCACAAGTTGCATACAAATAGGACAAAAAAATTACAGGATGTACCATATGTAGATGTACATGTGTGTATGTGGTTATTTATATTCCACTTTATTTTGTAAAACATCTGAAGCTATCAAGCCTCCAAATATTTAGGGAAAATCTGGAGGTCATTTAAAAAAATTGTAAACATGATGATGGAAACAGAAGTTCACTCGTAAACAGATGAGTAGGAAAACTCATTTCTATAAGTGACATTGGAGGAAATAATAATCACAATAATTCAGTGGATAAACTTGTTAAATTAAGGATAAGAAGAAAATTGAATAACTGCATACACAGGTTAAATTTAAGTAGAATTTATGTCATTTATCTTAATGGGGTAAATAAATTCTTGTTTAAAGCAGTTTACAAAGAATACATTCCATTTGCTTTCCTATCCATTAGGGGTCAGTTCTATAAGGACATTTTTACTCAAAAATTGGTTTTTTCTCTTGGAGAAGAAAATGAAGGAAGTCAAGGAGGTTTGGGGTTGTTTGTTTGTTTGTTTGTTTGCTTGCTTTTTAAGCTGCAACAAACTCCATCAAGGACCAGCATTAAAGGAAACAGGAAGCCACAGGTGGGCGGGCTGGGATCCACTGGCCCTCTGGACAGACCCGTCTCTCTTTGAACCTCATTCTCCACCAGAGTGGTAACTCAGCATAAGACACAGGATGTGGCAGTACCATCTAGCAGCTTTCAGGACCAGAATGTGAGCCCTGATGAACCCATAAAATACACTAGAAATCCTGAGAAGGCCTGGTGGAAGAGTCAATCCAGGATCCTTCAGGAGTCAAAACACCCAAATCTTAATTATTATCTAAATATTTATTTACAGATTTATCTTGGCTTCTTCTGCGCCTTAATCCTCTTAACACAGCCAAGAGCAAGGAAATGGAAAGAGGAGTAATAGCCAACTTCACTGTTGCCTGGGATGACAAAAATATGTAATAATAATAACAAGTTAGCAGATGGTTAGAAACAAACTTACAGCTAAATGTCTAGTGAGATTTGGAATTGTCTCAAGGTTTTCTTCTTTCCTTAATACCCTCGATAAAGGAAGCAGTAGTCATGCTCTAGGCCACAGGATAATCCAAACCTTAACCATAAATTTTCATCAAACCAACTTGTCACTTTCTAACCTGGATGATAAATCTGTATTTGCTGCTGACGTTTTATTAAATGAGATATGTAGACAAATGCATATGGTAAAACTATGTGGCATGCATTTATGAGTATGTCAAAATGAACCCCACTATGACATATAACACACTATTTTAATTTTCAAAGTGTATGGTAAATAATAATAGTAAAATTACTGTTATACTATTTTCACATTATTTAGACAATTATCCAGTTTTTCCAAAAGTTATCAGATCTTAGAAGCAGAGGTCTTTCCTTTCTTCTGACCAAAAGGGGCCAGGTGACTTTTATAAAATCCTACTTGTAGTTTGCTTATATCCAGGAAGGACGCCACTTAAATAAATTGATCACTTCCAATTCTGGTCCTTATTTTAAGTTTAATACCATTTTTAGTTTGGTGTGTAGATAAGGATGGGAAGAACTCCCCTGGCATTGGGACCGAGTGGGACATAATCACAAAGTTTTGAGGGGAAATAACATACAAACTGACACGTAAGTAACTACTGCTCTCGCAAGGGGAACTAAAAATATAAAATGTTACCTCCAAACTCATACCCTGGTTAATTAGGTTTTAGTGATAAAAGTCAAAGCACCAAGAAACATAAAATTTATATTTGAGTCTTGGAAAGTTGTAAAATGAAAATGTTTCCATGAAACTCTCCTTCTACATTCATTTCTGGACTTAACATATATTTCATTGCAATTTGACTGTCAAATGTATTCATAGATATTTGCAGGATTGGCCTTCAATGAACACCAGGATTGGGCTGGAATGCTTGGTACCATGAGAATGAAAACAAGCATCAGTTACCTGTTCTCCTTGACTCCCAGTGCCCGGGATGCCCATTGGTCCTTGAGGTCCCACAGGTCCCAAATCTCCCTGTATAGAAAACGTCAGAAGTACAACAATAAATAAAACCTCCTTCTTTTATGCTTTCCAATCTGAATTTAGGCTTGATTAAAATCTATATTTACACTTCAAAAAATTCAACAAGTAAAATCATAAGACCTCATTGCTTTTGATGATCTCTAGATCAAATTTGCCAAAAGAGTCAATGACATTTTCACTATTTTGTCTAAACTGGTTGGTATGTACATGGGTTTATATTTAGAAATTATGTTTCTCACAACCAGAATTTCTGAATAGTTATCATAATAATATAAAAACTTCCTGTTAGGACCATAACATAAATATTTAAGAGTTTAAAATTCTTGGGGTATAAGAAAACTGGAATTTGAAAGATAAATTGAAGAAGATATTTTTAAATTTTTCTAAGTAACTTTCCTCTCCAAATCTTATTAAAAGAACAAAAGTAAATACTACTCATACTTTACATAATATTGAACTATATTAAACTTGTGCGAAGACACACTCTGGAATGTACTTCTTAGTATTTCAATTTTGAAATTAAGAAAAATCTAAAGTGAAGCCTACAAAATTAAAGAACCCTACCTTCTACTCCCATGAAATAAATTCTATCCTTAACAGAGCTTACAATATTAGTAAGGGAAACAGAAGACAATAAGCAAGACAAGAAGATAAATGCTACATTGAATAATGATTTAGGGGAAAAACTAATTGAGAAAATGGCGTGGCAGTAACAATTGGAAAATGAACCCAGATGGCCTCACTGATGACAAGGAATGAGCCAGGTAGAAACCTGGAGAAAGAGCATTCCAGGCAGAGCACACAGCCGGCGTAAGGATGATCCCTGTACATTTCAGAAACAGCAAGGAGACTGTATGGGTGGAGATGGGGACCATGAGGGAGAGTGGTAGGTGACACATGGCAGTGGCCAGGCAGAAGGATCAATAGGTCCTGTGAGACAATGGTACTTGTTCTTGCTCTTCTCTGAGTGGTGTAACTGGGTGACTTCACCAAGAGTTGAAAAAAAGAGAGGGTCCAAGGACTGAGTCCTTTAATCTCTCCAGTCATTAGAGGTCAGAGGAATGAACCAGAAACAGCAGTAGAGACTGAGGAGCAGCAGCCAGAGAGACCAAGCAAAGAGAGGGTTTCAAGAAGGTGAGGGAGCAAGAAAGGGTACTGATAGGTCAAGTAAAATGACAACTGAGAACTGACCACTGGGTTGAGCTACATGGGTAGGTGTGCTTATTTCAATGGCAACTATATTTAGACAACTTCAAGTCAGCGACCTTTTTCTTAAACAGTGGGATAATAATGTTTTGGGCCTGAGGACGAAAATTAGGTCTCTTTTGTAACAGATCAATGCTGCTTTGAGAGTGTGAAATCAGCCATACACAATACACAAAGCAGCAGTTGTGCTTGTGTTCCAATAATGTTGTCACAGAAAGGCAGCTTAGGCTATGTAAATATGTTTTTATGAACAAAAGTAAATGCTACTCATACTTTATATAAATAATATTGAATTATATAAAACTTGTACCAAGACACACTCTGGAACATACTTCTTAGTATATTGTCCACCTTGGTCTAAATAAATAAGGAAAATATTATGGACTCAAGTTTTGATTCAGAACCCGATTATTCTGATTCAGTACTTGATTGTTCATTATGCAAGAGTCACTGTGCTAAATGCTTTTCATGATTTTTCTCACTAATCCTCCCAATAACTCTCTATGGTGGGCATCACCATTTTCCAAATGACCTTAAAGTAATTTGCTCCAGGTCACATACCTATTAAGTAGCAGACATGAGATTCAAATCTACACTCTGTCTCACTCCTCAACCCAACTCATAACCACTATTCTGCATGTATTCAATAAACACATAAAAATTATATCCTTTTGTACAGTTTTTTTTTACAATTAAAGTCTGTGTCATAACTAATTTTTTGTTTTGTTGCAAATATATGCATTTGTGAGCCCTCATCATAGGGTGTTTATGTTATCGCTTGAATCACACCAAAGTCTTTGAATCTAATGCTACACCTAAAAGAGTAGGAGAGGAAGAGAGGGGGAAAGGAAAGAGAAGACAGTATTGATTTAGGAAGGGGATAGCAAATAAAAGCTTTTTATGCAGAGCGTTTTCTTTGCATGAGCTCCAGATGTAAAAACACAAATGCCATGTCACAACAACCCTTGAAAAAGTTAATTTACTGAACTCACAAAACAATGGTTCTGTTGTATTCAGTTCCCACTGCCCCCAAAGAAAAAAGAACATCTTACATATTTTGGAAGTATTTTGGAACTGCAGTTACAACCAGAGCTGAGCTCTTTGAAGCAAGAAAGAAATTTATATGATCCATTACTTATCATTATCTCTGCTATTCAAATACAGACAACCAGAAGAAATAACTACCAGAAAATAAAAGGAATAAGTCATTTCAAGATTGAGGATAATCATGAGTATCAGTTATTACTCTAATTTAATAAATAATATAATGTGTGCTTAACGGTTGGCATATAAATGACTCCAAATTGATATGAGGTCTCTGGTTTTTGCACATATCTTCTGTCTCCTCCCCTTGACAACTTTCACTTCACATTGCTTTTTAGAATCTGAGCAGCTTGCAGTAACTTCTGTCACCAGCCTCACCACCCGCTTCTAATCAGGGTCATGATCTTCAGATATTTTAAAGAAAATGAGTAACTAATGCTAAAGAGTAAAGCAACGTCTGATGGCCTGGAGCTGACCTGACCCTGGCAGCTGGGCTGCAGTGCTGAACATAAACAAGTTCATCAAAGCGACAGACCAAGACAAAAGCAAGACTACTCAGTACTCATGTCTGAGCACAGACAAAACCACAAACACTGTCCAAATCCCTAGAAATGGCCAAACATCCTCCTGCTCTGGCTGAAATGAGTTGCTGCTACTTCTTTGACTATTACATCTCAACCTAACACCATTTTTCCCAATTTCTAGATGAGACTCGTTAAAATACTCAACCTTAAAATTATTCCCACTTTCTGGTAGCATCCAACGCAAAGCAACCTATGCTGTCTTGAAAGCTCCCAAAAGTCACCCAACACAAACCCAAGTTCTATAAAAAATCTCTTCTTCTTCCTTCCTAGTTGCAGTTGGTCGCCCAGGGTTTATGGTCTCCATGTTGCAATGAGTCAGTAAACCTTTGTTTAACTAAAGGTGGACTCCTATTGTTTCTTGCTGTAGGGTATCAACACTAGTTTTCTTAAATGAGTTCTATTATTTTAACTTCATTTTAAGGTAAATATTTTTGAATGAATGCCTGAAGGTAGAGATGGACTGTAATGAGGCCAAAGTGTTTTTAACAACTATTTTCTATTACACTAAGGACAGGTGTTTTTTTTTGCTAATGTCTGTCTTCAAAGATGCTTTGCTGATGACTGAAGTCACAGAAAGTTAGAAACCAAATAAGTAACACATTACTCTAAATAATGGGACTTCCCAGATCATAATTCATCCAATATAATAAATATACCTTGCATAGACAAGATTTATAATTAATTGGATACCTATGTGTCATGATTGTCATGTTATATTTGGTTTTAAAGTGTACACTCATTAAAAGCAATGACAAAAATAATTTTACTGGCATTGTTTCCATTATACACCTTGTATACAGTACCTTGTCCCCTTTGATTGACAGGCCTTGTAACCCTTGTGGGCCAATTGGTCCTTCAGAACCCTTTTCACCCTGAAAGTGCATAGAAGGGTTATCAGCGCATTGATAAAAATTATTTAAAAGATTTACATTAAAGTTACTATGAATTATACTTCAAATTGATTTTTTCAATCAAGTATCCAAATTCACTGCCCACTGACTCTAAGATTTGCAACTTGTAAAAAAAATTAGTCATATCATTTTCACAGGAAGGAGTCTGTCCCAGCAGAATACATATATAGCATTGCTGAAATTGGAAAAGAGCTCAATTTCCAATCTCAATAGAAATACTGAAACCAGGAACCTAATCAATAAATCATGTAGTACAACTACCTGGATCAAGCCTCCTGTTCCTTAACATGGCTACAATTGGATCCATGGTACAAGAAAATTTGTCTCTCATATATGTGAACCAACACTCGCAAGATTGGATTACTTATTAAATGTTTTATATCTGAACTTACAGAGACATTCATTGAAAATCTAGGTTTAGAAGGCTTCGTGGAAAACCTTGTATTTGCTTCTATGATCAAATGATCTCTGTGAACAGCTGTTCTTACTATATCTATGAAGTCATAGCACGTCATGCCTTTGTTATAAAAAATAAACCATGTCAATCAGAAACAACATTCATTTAATAAATTCATTAGAACCAAGAATAAAATCAAAGAACATTTTTAAGAAACCTAAGAAAAAGGAAAATATAGCTATATCTTTCTATCCATAATTTATTCACTTACTCGCTACAAATTAACCACAATCTGACTGAGTCAACAGGTCTGCCAGGCTGGGGAATGAAGTGCTCTGACTGGTGGGTTCTTCTGATCATTACCACAGAGCTAAGTTCCATGTACTTGACCCTAATGAAACACTGAAAACCATGTGTTCTTTCCTTATTGAAACAGAGGCCAATGCAGAGCCTGGGGTTATTATAAAGAGTATATCATCACATTATACTTCATTTAACATAAAAGTATGTTGAACATGTCACTAAGGCATTCCCTGGAATATACTTCTTAGTGTTTCACATATTCATTTATTTATTTATTTATTTATTTATTTTTGTTGTTGTTGTTGTTTTGAGGTTTGTGGGGGTTTTGTTTTGTTTTTGTACTAGAGATTGAACTCAGGGCCACTTGACCACTGAGCCACATCCCCAACCCTATTTTGCATTTTATTTAGAGATAAGAGTCTCACTGAGTTGCTTAACACCTTGCTTTTTGCTGAGGCTGGCTTTGAATTTGTGATCCTCCTGTCTAAGTCTCCTGAGGCACTGGGATTACAGGTGTTCAGCACCACACCCAGCCCTCATTTGTTTCTTTATCTTTAACACAAACACACAGAGATTATAAAGATAAATAATTTTCACAATTTGAATTTTCCGGATTGTTTGGGCTGCACATAAAAAAAGACATTTGTGATGTGCCAAAACTTTAATGAAACTATGTATCATAAAACTTTCTAAAATGTAGTTCTAAGTCTTTGACCTGTTTTCTAAGAATGATACTTTAGTTATGAAATATCATATTTATCCAAAATATTACTAACATTATTGTGGCAACTTTAATGTCTTAACAAGGTCCTCTTCAAAATTCAGCTCACAACATAGTATGAATTATTTGTTACAGCAATTGCTTTTCCTCTTTTGAGATTTGGGTTTCTCAGAGACAACTGAGTATTGATCATAATGAAAGAATCTGAGAATGAGATACAATTTTAGAGTATGAGGCCATATTGAGAAGGTCAGAACTGAATGACCTGACAGAATAACTTGTGCAGGGTCTGAGAAATCAGCATATGGTTCTCTGGGCTGTGTGGATGTGTGTCTACGTGGGGGGTGGGGAAGACTTTAGAAATGAAGAAAGAACCCAGAAATGCATTATTGTTTGCTGTGAAATTTTTTTAATAGTGCCCAACGTATTTTGGAGAACCATTTCCTATGTGGTGTTTGGCAGATGTGTTATAGATATGGGTAAACCACCTAGACAACAGGACAGCAAACTACAGCCCACTGGCCAAATCCCATAGCCAGCTTTTTGTAAACACAGTTTTGTTGGAGCAGCCAGATTCATTCATCGATACGTTTTTATGGCTATTTCCATGCAGCAACAGCACAGTTGAGTCATTGCAACAGATACCATATGGCTTACAAAGCCTAAAATATTTGCTATCCAGCCCTTTACAGAAGTTTGACATGCCCTGGTGCAGAGGAACTTGAGCTCCAAGAATTATATGTGGGAAGCAGTAGGAAAGTTTGAATTCATAAGAGTTGGTCTGTGTGGTAAAAAAAAATCAGTTTTCTTATGATATTGATGGCAGTATAAATTGATGTATTAGATTTTGTATCCTATCTGTGTTTCATAAAACAAAGCTGTGAGCAGTGTTGCCATAGCTACACTGAATAACTTGACTTCTGGGCATCAATATGCTATTTATCACTGGAGCGTTAATGACTGCAAACTGAGAGTTTCTAATTTCATATGTGGTAATTACATGAAATAGAAATCTGTTGATGACTTATTTTATAATTAAATATTTCACCATACTTTTACATTAAAAGAAAATTGACAAATTCCTTCACACAATACGGTGCAAATAGTCAGGAAATACTTAACTTCTAATAATCTGTGTTTTTAAAAATTTGTGATTCATGACTATGCAGGACAAAGTGCTATGGGTTTTTTTTTTTCCCCTAGTTCAGAGGCTTTTATTACCTTAGGTCCTGGAAATCCTTCTCCAGGTAAGCCCCTCTCTCCTGGTGCTCCCTCAGGACCACGGGGACCCTGGTTAGGGTAGGAGGGAATGAGGAGCAGGTGAGAGAGCAAGAAAGAAAGGCAGAAAGAGAAAGGGAAGAAGAGGGAAGAAAGAGAATAGTTATATTTCAGTTCACAAGGATATGGCGGAGATATAGTCCTCCTAAGTTTTTCCTGAGTGTCCTTCTAGTAATCTCCCAAAGTATTTTGGAAAACCATTTACATTGATCAGCAGAATTGTAGAGTTGTAAAGAAGAAATTCACATTGTATTCAAATACTTATTCTGTTTGATTGGCATAAGCACTTCTAGTATCCTCAAATTAGAGGAAAATTGAAATTAAGTGATGCTTCAGAATAAGGATTAGGAAATAAACCCTATGAGGAAAGGCTAAAAATTCAAGACTATGTGATCTGGAGAAGGATGCAGTGTTATTTTAAAATTTGGTTAAGTTTTAAGGGAGCCCAGTGAAGAAATCACTGCACAGCTGTTGCAAAGCATTGGATACTACTTACATGTGTTTTGATTTCTGTCCTGATATACTTGGACTAAAACTTGAATTATTTCAGGAACCCATTGACTCCACTGGCAGTTCTATGCATAAGCTGATATCTTGATAGATCAATGAAGGGAAACATGGTTTTCCATGTTGATGATTAAAATTAAGTCTGGATAACTATTGCTCAGAAGAGGAGCACTTCTAAAGGCACTAGAAGAGGAGAGGACTTCTCGGTCCTAGGCTTTGAAATGGACTGGCAGAAAACACCCTAATTGGAAAACATAAAACACTAGCAAGATTTTCATTTAAACTAGAAAAAAAAATTAAACTATGAATTTTCCCCTTTTCTTCTTGTCCAAAAGGTTAAAAAGAAAGAAATGTAAAGGAACTAACAACAAACCTCTTAAAAGCAAAAACTTGAGAATTTCCTCTAATGATCTTCAGATGATTCAGATTAGCTAACTAGGGAAGTCCTGGAACAGTCTAATAAATTTCCCTCAAGGCCCAAAGCCAGCACACTGCAGGCTGCAAGGTCGTTGGGCTCTAGGTACACTAATCCAGGATTACCTAAGAGATGCATTAGACTGGTGGCAGAACAAGGGTGCAGCATTATGTTCAGCAGTAGCAGACCCATTATGAATTTGTATTTAAGAAAGAAAACTAACTGTATCCCAGCGTTTAACTTCTTTGTGCTTTGCCCTAATATTGCATATTTTTAAAGACAGTCTTTTTTTTATTATTCAGTAAAGACTTTAATTAAAAGAAAAAGCTAACATCTAATTGAATTTAAATTATAATGCTTGTGACCTTTAACAATCCAAAATCTTAATCAAAGCACTAATATCCATGACAGCTTACTCTAATGGTAGAGCAGTCAGCTAGGGAGGAAATAAAAAGGAGCATGAAACTGGATTGCAAACTAAACTGAAAAGTGCCAAGTAAAAATCATACACGTTCTCAAAGAACAGCAAATTTTTCTTCTTCCCTAATGATAGGACTAATGAAAATGAAACCTATTATATTAAACATAGTAAAGTCTTTTTCCCAGCTCAGTTTTTTTTTTTTTTTTTTCATTCATTCAACAAATACTTACCAAACACCCAAGAAGTGGAAGGAATTGTACTAGGAATAGCAGACAGATCTCCTTGTCTCATGGAATTTAGTCTTGCATGCTAGTTAAAAGGAGATTTTGGTGTCTTTTAAACCAAGGTTCAAGTCTGACTTTTGCTATATATTAGCAATGTCACCTTGATCAGATAATTCAATCTCTCCAAAGCTCAGCATCATCTTCAGAATGATGATGACAGTACTACCTCAGCCACTAGTATTATTGTAAAGATTCAGAGACATTTAGAGCTCTTACATATGACTGCATGCCTGCTGCAATTATCAAACCTAATTTTACTTCAGCTCCACCATTGTTACAAATTTCCTTTGTGGAGTGTTTAGAAATAAGGAAATCTCAGAGGTTGGTCTACATTAGGCAAAGTGGTGACAGGCATTTATTCTGGCTGCACAGAATAAATGAATTTTCTTCCCTCCTCCTCTGCACTTGTAGAATACAGCAATGAAAGTGAAAGTAATGGAGGAGTTAAGGAATCATGCGTTGAGAATGGAGTTAAGTCTGTTAAGTCTGTTGAGAATGGAGTTAAGGCTCCTGGGCCAGCACTTAGGGGAATTAAAAAATCAGTGATCCAAGGTTTAATTACTGTGAAGTGTCAGAGAAATATTCCATACCATCAGTATGTTCTCAAGTTTTCCAGTTAAAGAGTCAGGATAGAAGATGATTATTAACCAGAGAAGAGAAGTAGCAGGTACTTGAGTTAGATGAACCATACTTTTAATTTAGTAGTCAGGAAAGACCAGAGGATAATTTTTTAAAAATATTTTTATTGACAGATAATAATTGTATGTCATTTAAAAAAGAATAAATGCTTCTATAAAAATGTCAGTGTCCTTTTCAAAGCCATGAGAACCAGTTAGAACTATGGCATATTTGTTTGTTTTTAACAAACATCTCTAAAATATATTTATTTATATATTTTTATAAATATATATAATCATTATATATTTACTTATATAATGATTATATCTATTATATAATATATTTTAACATATCATTAGATATAATAGATTAATATTTAATTATTAGAGATATATATTAGTTATATAATTAGGTTCCTCCATTTATACTTTAATCCCAATTACCAGTTAACACAGTCTAATCAGTGAAATGCTTTATTGAAACATTAGCAATGAAATTAAAATGATTGTGCATTATATTTATCTTATTACTTTCCTTAATAATATCAACAGTGTTAATAACCTTAAAAATGGTTTCAGACTACTTGCAAGCGTTAAAGATAAATATGTGAAATAATAATAAAAATTGCCCATTATATTCAAACAGTGTCATCTACTTTATTTTTAACTTCAAAGTAATTAGAGTTATACTTCAGGGGATATCTTTTTTCCCCTGAGAGTACTCTGAATGACCTTGCATAAAAAGCAGATCACTTTGAGAGTCTCAGTTGATTTACTTTTTATAAATCACTATGCTTATCATATCAGCACAAAACAAGTGATACACAAAAATGATAGCTAACTATTCAAAGGCAGGCATTAGAGTGAGAATATTAATTCCATCTATTGGTAGATTTACATTACTGCCGCATTGGCGAGAGTAGCCCTAGACCTGAAATTATTTGAAATGATTGGCGCAAAGAAACAAAGTAAAGGATTTTCAGCAGAATCTCTGTCAATCCTCAGGTAAGTCTTTATGTCACTTCTAAATTATTAAAAAACTCACTTCGTTGATTTTTTTTATTATGACATTTTTGTTGCAATAGTCTGACACTTTATTTGGGATTCTTCTCATCTTTGTTAGTATTTTGTTTCCAAATAAGTCAGAACTTCACAGCATCACTCTCATTGGTGTAATTGTGGCTTAGAAAACAAGCCAACAAACAAGAATTTCCTATTCTGAGAATATTGTGAAAACTCTCGCTCCAGACAGAAAGATAAGGAATATGATTTTTTTTTTCCAAAATGAATTATAAAGATATACCTGAGCCCAGAGAAAATAAAGTAGGGCTCAACAATAGAGATGAAAACTGTGTATGCATCTAAGATGCTGCTGTGGCTGTGCTGGGTAGGGGGAAAAAAAAAAAAAACATTTGTGGGGTAGAAAGAAGTCAAGGAAGCCTAGAGAAAAAAATAGTAGCAGAGACTTTGGCTCACCCAATGGAAAATGAGGAGCAAATCAGTGCTGACATCCCACAAAAAGTGAAGACCTTCAAAGTTGTGAAACTTCAATGAAAAGGACATTAGCAAATAGTCATTTACATTGACACAGGGGTGTGGGCAACAAGAATTGTGTCTGCCTTGGCGAGGCCTCTGAAAGACTAGAAAGTCCCAAACTAGACTTGTGCTGTGTTTGGGTTCGAAACTTCTATTGACACCACCTAGGCAGTCTCTGAACACTTCTGTCAACGCTTTATCATCAAGAAAACTCCTGGACTTCCTAAAAGGTGCAAACACAAACTCCTCTCAAACACCCTTCACACAGGACACTTGGAGTTTTCACAACTAAAGTCCTACTGAAAATCAGTTCAGATTCCAAAGTTCAGAACATAATAGAAAATAATTCACAATGAATAAAAGTGAACCAAGATAACATAAAATCCCCCCAAACTGACAAATAATAGGAGACAAAATGTATACTTTAGGGCTGGGGATTGGGGCTTGGGGCTCAGTGGTAGAGTGCTTGCCTAGCACGTGTGAGGCACTGGGTTCAATCCCCAGCACCACATATAAATAAACAAATAAACTAAAGTATTGTGTCCATCTACAACTAAAAAAATTTTTTAAATGTGTACTTTAATGCTTAATGTCTTAAAAAGAGTAAAAAACACAAGAATCAGAGTCTAGTGTGGTAAAAAGGATGGATGGATAGTTAGATAGATAGATAGATAGATAGATAGATAGATAGATAGATAGATAGATAGATACATAGATGATAGATTTTGAAAATACTCATTAAACTAAAAATTTAATGGATGAGTTAAGACATTTTATAACCTGAATAACCTAATGAAGTTAAATTTATACATTACAAGTTACATTTAAAGAAATTACCCAAAATGCTTCCAAATGTCCAATAGGATTTCAAAATAAATAGAACGAGGGCAGGGTGAGCATTTGAAGAGACAGCTAAGAAATTTAAAAATTGTCAAATCCTCAGATTCATAGAACAGTGCATCTAAAGTCATAAAATTGTAAATTTATCCATATTTACATGTATCATAATGACTTTAAGAAAAAATATTAATAAGAAAAATTACAAAAGCAGCCTAAGATAAAAGGCAAATTACTAAGAAATTATAAACGAACTGCAAACAAATCAACAGGAACCACTGTTGTTAGTAGACAGTGGAATTAGTACACAACTAAGATTTTCACACCAGCTAAACTATATCATTAAAAAAAAAAAAGAATGACATTTCAGCTAAAAACCGAAAGAGTTTACACAT